GCTTTCGGAGCGCATAACGGTCAAAATTGCAGATTTAGGCAACGCATGTTGGACAGATCACCATTTCACCGACGATATCCAAACCCGACAGTACCGTTGTCCGGAAGTCATTCTTGGCGCGAAATGGGGGACCAGCGCTGATGTGTGGAGCGCGGCATGTGTGGTGAGTGGAGGCTTCGGGGTGTCGGGCCTTGTTCGCGAAGCTGACTGCACGGTTGCGATCTGCCCAACTCTATCCATAGATTTTCGAGTTGCTTACAGGTGGCGATTACCTGTTTGATCCCCAATCTGGTACAAAGTACAGCAAGGATGACGACCATATTGCGCAAATCATCGAGTTATTAGGCGAGTTCCCCAAGTCCATCGCGTTTTCGGGTAAATATAGTGCAGAGTTTTTCAACCGAAAAGGCAAGTCGTCCCCTCCGATATATCCGTATGGCCCAGGATGGTACTGATACCCCATCGTGCTCGTCCGAATGAACGATTTCGTCATTCTTACACTAGGCGAGCTGCGACATATCCACAAGCTTCGTTTCTGGCCCGTTGAATCGGTTTTGCACGACAAGTATCTGTTGTCGCGTGCCGATTCGGACATGATCGCATCGTTCCTCACACCCATGATGCACCTTCATCCTGAGAAGCGCGCACGCTCAATCGATATGGTGAATCACCCTTGGCTTGATGGTATTATCGTACAGGGTGAGCTCGACGTGCTCAAGTCCGAGCGAGATCGCGAACGTGGCCGTTCTGGTACGCGCGGAGCTGGGTCTTCGTCAAGGAGCGCAACCGGATCGGGTTCCAAGTCCAAATCTGGTTCGCAACGAAGACCGAGCGGACCGCGCGATCCCAAAAAGGACGTCCAAGCGTTGAACGAGGCGGCCGCGGTAGATGCGCTCAGACCTGTCGATGAAGCCGCGCTGCTGGGTGGTCACCAGTAGGAGCATCGCACGCATTAGATTGATTTTTCTTGGCTGAAACCATAATAGTTGTTCCGATTTTTTGTTTGTTCCTCTCCACGCTTGGTTTCCCTGTGTGCTCTTGTGCTTGTGTATGATATATGCAACATCCAACGTCTCGTACATACACTCTCTGGTACCCAAACCTACTCTATGATCTTATATGCCCCTCCTCCCTACCTTCATATTTCTTGTCTATTTTCTCGGTTTATTTACCCCCCCTTTTTTTTTCTGACTGGGGTCGCTGATACAGGCTCCGGTGGGCTTGGTGGGCTGGTGGCTGTTGGCAATAGTATTCCGATATGTGAATGAACACGCGCGAATTTCATGTGGCGCATATAGGTATTACTACAGGAGTGATAGTACAACAGGAACGAAGTGTTTCAAGACATCCAAGAAGGATAAAACAAAGTCAAAGATAATCGCAGAATAGGTACATGGAATCGGTAGTTTCCGGTCCCGCGAAGGTTATGAGTTATGGCCGCAGTGTCGAAGCATCAAAGTATCGCATCTTCCCACTGTATATACAGTCGCATCCTGCTCTTCATCGAAGCTCGAAACCCACACCCTGACCACGACACACCTCTACCATATCGGTAATATCCATCTCAGGTTCCGTGTAGTTTGCAAGTGCGGCTCGTTCGCGCTCAGTCAATCGGCGAGGAGGATGGTCGACGAATTTGGGCGAGGCTGAGGCCCGCGATCCGGTCCGAGCGTGTGGGACAGTGGATGAACGGGATTTAGTTGGGGATGGGGGCTGCCACGAGCTTGCACTGCTCGCTGAAGACGTTGAGTGCCTGTGCCTCGACCGTTGGTCGAGTTGGAACGCATGGGTTACACGATTATGGTCTGGACTCTGTATAAAGTGTAGGAATTCAGTCGGTGCACACAGGCTTTGAATCCAGAAGAGAAGTTCGGGATGGAAGAGAGAACGTCTTGTAGGCTGAGAATGGAAGTTACAACCGGTACTTACCCGACCCCCATTCACTTTCGGGGCGTCCCGCACTCGTACGGGAGTAGATGGTGGTGGGGAGTATAGCACATGGCTCGTAAAGGCAGCAAGGTCATCAAAAGTAAGGAAGAACCCTTTGGCGGTTGACATGGAGGCAGACGGGCGAGACATGGTCGGTAGTTCACGAGACTGAGACTCGGGCGTGTGCGGGCGAGGGAGGAGAGAGAACTATTAACAGTCTCCGGTCGGGGTCGGAGGTATATATGATGATGAGCAACAACTACTAGACAAAGCCAACGCGAGGACCGGAAGCGTGTTGCATATCGAAGTCCCATCGATCAATGGGACCCGAATTGTCCTTTGTTTCGCCGTGTGCAAACGTGTACTTTGGATGTTCAGGGAGTATGTATGCAATGATCTCGCATGAGCGATGCTAGGACCGACGCATACAGTGTGTACGAATGGGATTCCCGGGGCTGAAACCCGCAATGGAGACCATGGCGAGACCAAGTCTGAGACAACCGATGCCGGTGGCAGTGAGCCGGCGGATTCCCAAGCGCCGGATTATTTCACTATGATTGGATGGGCGGAGTCGCACAGACCATGTCGCAGTGGGAGTGCTTGCGAGAGAGACAACGGTGCAATTTGTTCGAAATACGGAGCCTCTGTCTCTTGCTCTCAACTACCACAGTTTTACCCCCGTAACCCACACCCGCTGCCCCAGCGTCGTTTTCCGCACTCAGATCTTCGTATAAAGTAGTACAATGGCCCGTACCAAGGTCAGTAGTCCATCTATGCACATTATTTCCACGACCGCCGCTGCCTAGTTGGCCGTCGCTGTCGTGGCTTGCCCCGTCGTCATCGTCTGAGCTGGCATACTGACGAGATCGCTTGCTTGCTTCCGCCGCGCTTCCGACCGATCCGCCCACCGCTCCGATGCGCACACCATGCGCACCTCCGATTTCGATCCGCCATCAATACCCGTCCCGACGCCGCCCGACACTGCCACACAAATCCCGCCCTTCCAAATTTGGAAATTATACAAACATTGGTCGACGACAATTCGATAAATATATTTCCATCTACAGCAAACCGCCCGCAAGTCTACCGGAGGTAAGGCACCTCGTAAGCAGCTCGCTACCAAGCAGGCTCGCAAGAGTGCGCCCCAGACTACTGGTGGTGTCAAGAAGCCCCACCGCTTCCGCCCTGGTACCGTCGCTCTCCGTGAAATTCGCCGCTACCAGAAGAGCACCGAGTTGCTCATCCGCAAGTTGCCCTTCCAGCGTCTCGTTCGTGAGATTGCTCAGGACTTCAAGACCGACCTTCGCTTCCAGTCGTCGGCCGTCCTTGCTCTCCAAGAGGCCAGCGAGGGTAAGTAGCAGTGTGCTCCGTGGACTCGAAGCTTATGTGACGTCTTGCAGCCTACCTTGTATCCCTGTTCGAAGACACCAATTTGGCTGCCATCCACGCCAAGCGTGTTACCATGTATGTTCGCTCCACCTTGCCGTATGTGTACATCTAATATTCCTCTTTAGTCAACCCAAGGACCTCGCCCTTGCCCGCCGCCTCCGTGGTGAGCGCTCTTAAGCCCCTTCAAGTAGAACGAACAATCCTATGCACCCGATTGGTTTGTAATTTGTACTCTTCTTGGTGCATGAGGTCCTATTTGTTCGTTTGTCTGTCCTTTTAGACTCGGAATATCCTGTTGTTTATAGCCTGGATTCACCCTCCCTAAACCGGATTATGTATCTAAGCTCTAAGCACCTATGAATGTTTTATTTGTGTTTGATAAATATATGTCTGTATACCACTCCAGTGCGATCCCGGAAAAGCCCACGCCATCATACGACGCTGCAGAGGCAACTATCTTTGACTTCTCGCGGCGCTGATAGAAGAGTGTAATAGGCTTGCATCACGAAACTGGGGTCACTCGCCACCAGTGCCTCAGAGATAGACGCTATAAGATCCTCTGTGGAGTCAATGACGCACATACCCCACTGGTGCTGTAAACGATCGTCAGGGTTGCGTCAATATCGCTTGGATGACCAGTGAATGAGGGAGGAATGATGTGCAGTTAGAAGTGTGATTTGTGTCCCGTGCGCAAATCATCGTAATGAGACCACTTGTACCGACAGACTTCTTTGGATATTGTGGGGTCAATATCGCTCTCGAGGACTCGGATCGAAAACGGGTGCTTGAGTGCTTTTCCAGTGTCCTTCGCGCTGCTATCAATGCTACTCCTATGCACCTCGGTGGGAACCAGTTCGCTGGTATACTCTGAGCTTTCCGATGCGCCGTTTGATTACGCCCCCCCTTGGTTCATATATTTCGAGGGAGCCGGTCAGGACGGATTGCTCCATAGTTCAACCAACCACACGTCGTTTACAAGATACAGATAACTTCAGAGGGTTGCTATCGAGGGGACTTATGAGACCGCTGAGAGCGCCTACATACAGGGAAAACCACTAACTATCATACCGGGTCTGCTGTAGGTCGTGCGTCTCAAAAACACCCCGCGGCGGGAGTGGACGGCGGGGGGGGGGGGCATGGGCTCGTCCGTCGGGTTTTGGCAACACCATACGAAGACCCTTCTTTATTATTTTGTGATGTCTTACATACCGTCAGGTGAAAGCATCAGCAAACTGCGTTTCACTCTGGAAGGCTTCCAGAGCCCCCAGAGTGGGTGGACCTACTCTGGGAGGCACAATTTGAAATCGCTACTGAATGCCTCCAGAGCCTCCAGAGTCGGTCCCCCCTTCCAGAGTGAAACGCAGTTTGCCGATGAAGACAATAAGCACGGATTAAAATATAAGAAGAAAAAAAAAACTTCGGAGGCGTCTTAGTCCTTGCATTCAAACGATTATGAGCGGAGCACGAAAGTTCAAATGTGGTGGTACTCCGACTACCCACACTTGCGGACGAAGAGAGCGCATACACCCACCTCCACAGGATAACCTTTCAAGTACGGGGTTATATCTGCAGAATCCGTGATGCTTTCTGGGTGTATAGACCGTGAGAGAAGGAAAATCGTCTGCTACGAATTCCTCTCTGGATGCAACGAACCTGTAAGCAGTTACTAGGTATTGTACCAAGCCCTTATAGCACAGTGGTAGTGCGTCGCACTTGTATCAAATTCGTACATTGCATACTTAATTTGACATGCGAAGGTCGGTTGTTCAATCCAGCCTGGGGGCATTTCCTTTTTTAGTCTTTTTAGACATGCTCAGGTGGCCGGGCCAACAACCATGTCTTGTAGTTTTATGATCACCCTAAGCCTCTTTTTATTCTCAAGGTTAGAGTGTGATTAATTATATACATGGAAAGCTAACTACATAATACAGGGAGGTAAGGTTGGGTACTTGTGCTTTTGTGGCCAGTCAAG